AAATTTTCAGATTGATTCGTCAATAACGATTTCGAGCTCGGATTTCCGCAAGTTTAAAAAATAAGCCGTTTCGAGAAAAACGCATTTGAAACAAAGTGCGCTTCGGCACTGAATCAAACCGTGTTTACCTTAGTGCTCATATCATCGAAACTAATTGGAATTTCTTTTTGAAACTTAAGCAACATATTCTTAAATAGTTGTACTAACAATTTATGCAATAAAAAAATCAATTTTTTTGAATCATCTGAACTGGTTTGCCCCTTTACGCAATTGAATTAAAATAATGCAAGTTGGCAATACTACATTTTACTACGTGCTTACACAAAAACTTCAACAATATATACGCATGTATTGTTCATCAATGGCCAGAGCAACAAAAATAAAACCAACTTCAGTTTACTGTTGGTGAATTTTCTTGCAGCCACTGCGATTACAACCCCTGATGGGAGAACTTAGAAATTCCATACATTTCTTGCAGCGACACATTCTCTCATTTGTTAACTCGGACACTTACTGTGAGAGCATGCTGCAAAACTTAGGTGTAGGAATGCCAGCTGTGCAAAAGTATTTAAAAAATACTGTGCTTAATTTAAACGATATCAGCTTGTGTATAATTACTTGTATGGCGATAAACGCCAATTTGTTTATTTAAAAGGAAAAAATAATTAAAATAAATAAAAGTTTTATGTTTAAAATAAATGCAAACCTGTATGAAGAGTTAGCTAAATGCCAAAAAAGAGTATGTCAGTGGTTTCTGTCTAAAAAATATAATTTGTCCGCGATTTATCTTTGCTTGAGTTGGCATCCCTACAGCAGTGAAAAATTGTGCCACGAGCGGATTAACTTTATCGCTCTCTCTTATCTTTCTCTCCCTCTCTCTATCTCAATGTGCTACGTTGAACAGCCAAATTTATACCGGATACAAGGCGGCAAACTGGCGTTATCCAATGGAATAGTGTGTGAGTAGAAATGTAAAGAAATGTGTAAAAAATCCATACATTCACGAAAAAGGTAATCGATCGATTTGTGACGAAACATTGCACCACATGCCCCTTTTAACTTCACTTGCGACAACCAAAAACTCACTCAAGCTCTCTTTCGAACGTTTGCTTTGTGATTATTATTAAAAATGTTGCTTAAAAGTTTATTGCTAATTTCTATGTTTTGGTTATTTTTAGCTGGGCTGATGAGTTCACTCTTCAGCACTTCACATAAACTCGTATGGCGATAACTTTGTACACGCATTTGTAATTGTGTATGCATATGTGTTAGCCGTTAGTAGATATTCCACGGCTATACCGTTAGCTAGCTTATCAACCCCCTAACTTACAGCACGCATCGTTCACCGGCCACCCAGGCCCCCACCCATGCACGGGCCTTCACCAGGGCAGCAAACGAGAGACTCACCAACACACTAACTAATCCACACACACACACACACGCACACACTAGTACAATTCATATTAACTGTCACATTGACAGCACAGCTCACTCCAATGATAAAACAAGTCGACCCCGCCACCTTCTTTGCGGGGCTTGCAAACGCTCGACATAAATGTTGGAAAGAAAAAAAAACCAAAAAACAAGAACCAAAAAAAATATCTAAAAAGGACCAAAAACAACACCGTTGAAGCAAGAAAACAACAGTGAGAATGGCGACAACATTGGCACACAAAATTCCAAGTTTCACACATATGCGCACACACACGCACGCACATCTGTATGTAATCTAAAAATACATGGAAATGAAATAGAAAAGCTCACAAATAAATATTAAATAAAATACTCCAACGACTAAGCGCACAGTTTGTGAAAAGGAATAGGGTAAAAAAAATTTGTTCTTTTTTCGCTTTTGGATTTGTTAGTCAAACAATTGGGAACTGAACAAATGAAGCGAGTCTATAAACATTTGTTCAGACATACAAACATAAATTTTTACATATGTAGAAATATTATATTAATTTCTACTTTACATTGTGTGTAGGATTTGTTTAAGCTTTGAGTTGGCTATGCTTGCTATTAAAACCAGGGATGTAAAAAGTACAAGGATTTCGATGTTTTCCATTATAATAACTTTTCAATATTTATTTATGAACGTACTACATGGATATTACATTTGAAAATTCTGAAAATGTACGAGCACAAACGAATGCAATTACATAAGCATATGAAAATGACAGCTATTGAAAAATGTTCCTAGCAAAAATTCATACTGACCGCTATTTAGTTACTGAAGCTCTTACTCCTCACTAATTGGAAAAGATATCACCAGAAAGTTCTAAAATTTTACATAAAGCATTATTATTTTGTGTTAAGTCCATCTGTATTTGTAATTAGTGTTACTCAATAATTTTCTATTACCCTACATCCGTGAGTTCTCTGACAATAATGGCCAATTCACATAGAACTTTTGCGTCAGACATTGTTTTGACAGTAAAGTTCGATATACGCTTTTGTATGAGTACGTTCACATAAGACGTTTTCGAAAAACAAGCAAAATGTTGGATAACTCTCATCTTGTAACGCTTTGTCAAACATTAGTCGCCATTTTTATTATAGAGAAACATTGAAAGTAAAGTGTTCATTTTTAAGTATAAACTGTCATGCAAAGAGGAAAGTTGTGTGTGAATGAGCCATAATGGTGTTAGTGGTAAACCCTGCTCAAAATTACAGAGTTCACACCACAGACATATTAAATCATTAACCTTAAATTCAACTCCTTTTTGTTTTTATGAAGATATAGCCCTGTTTCTTAAGCAAAGTTATCGCATAATTGAACAATTTGTTCGCTGTATTCACGATTTTCAAGTTGTCAAATTAAAATCAGTGTTTCATAAGTTCACCTCACAGTTATGCATAAACATGACATCATAAAACTTGATTTTGTGGTCCAACATGCACGGATTCTGAATTTTCCTTTCAATATTAGAGTTTCTACCACGTTTGTACAACTATTATGCTGCATTGCTGACAATATCGAAAGTTTTCGGTTATTTCCTAATAATTCTCCCTCTCGATATCCTTCTAACTCTTCCCTTTGATAATTAGAAAATAGTAGTTGGTGAAAATATATATTTTTCCTTCCAAAAACCTTTCTGAAAGTAGCAGCCGAACTAGGCTTTGAGAACACCTTATTAAAAAGATACAAAGAACAAAAAAACCAACCCATAGTAAAGTGTTGTTAATATCCCGAAATCCCAACATTTATCACAATTCTTGGCATGTCGATAACTAGAAAGTCCAAGAAGGCTGTTTTTCGGGCGAAAACCATAATGGTATGAAGCCTATATATTGGGCAAAAGTTCGATAAAAGAAATAGTTAGTAGCTGAGTAGAAGTAACCTTGCTTCTTATATACCTATATTAGATATTAGATGAAAAGTTAGTGAAGAGCTAATGGCGGTTATGTAAGAGCTTTTCTTGACATTTTGAGAAAGTTTTCCCAATTCTTAAGAACTTAAGAACTCACCAGATGTTAGCAGGATCTATCATTGCTTGGATAACCATCTACGCACTTTCTGTTGGAATGGCGACAAAATAGAATTTTAAGAAAAACTTGGATGAGGTAGGGATTTTAAACTTTTTTTCGATAGTGTAAAAATTTAAAGTCGTTTAGAGCAAATATGACGAAGTTACGAATACTTTTATGCCTCACTTATAAACATTTTACATGAGATTTCAAAACGTTTCACCCACAATTCTTAGTTTCAAAGTCGATGCCTCTCATATTTTGAAAACTACTACACCGATCGTTTGAATTTTGAACACTGTCTATACATGATTGACGAGGTAACGCTGGAGAGATTTTTTCAAGTTTGTTATTATTTTTTTATTTTACAATAAAAAATTAACCGATTTTTTCGCAAATACCCACGTTTTTACTTTCAAAGTGTTCCCAAAATGTGAAAAATTCAAAATTCTTAATTTTGATTTTTATATCCTGAACAGGGTTTATTAAGTTTGCCACGATATTTTTAACACCTTAAGGGAAACGTCGAGGACTCTATAAAGTGTATCTATAAATGATCAGCATGACGAGTTGAGTCGATTTAGTGATGTTCGTCTGTCCGTCCGTCCGTCTGTATATATGCGAACTAGTCCCTCAGTTTTTGAGATATCAATCGGAAATTTTCCGCAAGCTGCTCATTTGTCAGGACAGCCGTTATCGGATCATTATATCATATATCTGCCATACAAACTGAACGATCGGAATAAAGTGTTTGTATGGGAAATATTTTCATGAAATTTGGTATGGGTTATTGCCTAAGGCAATGATGCAACTTAAGCTGGCATAGAAACTGACCCATCAAAGTTCTTGTAAAGAATCTTTTGTATATTTAATGGCTATTATAGCTTCGGTGCAGCCGAAGTTAACGTTTTTTTCTTGTTTGATTTCTGATAATCAATGTTGAGAGGCACCGCAATTCCATTTTTCCGAGACGATCCAGAGTAACTGCTGTCATTGCCGTATTTTTTAATTTTTTGCCATGAAAACAACAGAACAAAATATTCTTCAGATGTCATACTATAATATACTATAAGTATTCCAAAACATAGTTAAAAAAATAATAAAAATGAGCCTTGTTTTGCACGAATTAACCCTACTCCCCCTTACAAATATGACTAGCTAAAAAAACAGACACAGAACTCAAGAAATTATCGTGAAATAGTCAACGCAAACTAAAAAATATTTGCAAAACGATTTTATGTGATTTACAGAAATGGCAATAACGGAACTAAGATATCCTAAACTGCTATATCTTCGAAAAATCAAAATTTTAGAGCATAAGACGCCAAAATATGTAAATATAAGACGCTGTAATAGTTATCAGATATGCGCTTAAAGGTTTTTAATAATCAAATACTTTCTTTTACTTTCGGAATCTCGCACACTCTACGTGCGATGAAATATTTCAAAAGTAATTTGATAGCATCTCAAATTCTTGAGTGCATGCAATAGCTGATTGCACCCACCCCACCAACTCTCTCGCTCAATTTTACCTGTTCTCTCGATGCAACAGTGGCATTCCTTGCTGAGCGATTTGCTCATCGCATAAAACAAAAACGACTATAATGAACAGCGCAAAAAACTTCCGGTGCGATATTAAAAACTCATGAACTCATGTGTGATGTGCCGACTGACTGACGGACGAACGCTATAAATGTGCAGCGCTGTAATTGTGCGCCCGCTGCGTAGTTTTGCCGATGATTTCAGTTTGGATTTCCACTTCCACTTCGACTTCGGCTATGATTTGTTTAATTTCCGTTGATGCTGCAGCGCATTTCCGGCAGTGAATGGGCCACGATTGTGAGTAAAGGGTACGACGACAACAACAATTGCGATGGCACGATGACACAATGACGACGATTATATACAAACAGGCATGCACACACACATATGTATGTATGTATATATGTATGTGGTTATGCTAGCATACGGCGTATGTGTGTAAGCGATGACGTTATGTGGCGTTCGTACGTTAGAGCAACCGTGACTATGCTGAATGCATGTGAGTATGAGCGCCGTTGCCTAGGCACGATGCCGCAGGTGATGATCTCTATGCTTAATCGAAAAGAAACAGCTTTGGATAATACAAGTAATTTAATTCAACGCGATACCGAAAGGCATCCAAAGCAGCGCAAAAAGCCGCTGTCACTACGAAACCGTTCGTTGGCAAATAACTTCGCGAATATGTAACGTAGTATCGACGATTGCAACTGTGGGTGGACGCACACTGGCCGACTGATGCGTGTACTTCCAGCCGATGCTGTTGTTTTTGTTGTTGTTGTTGCTGTGCTTTTGACTACTACAACTGGTACTACGGTTGGACGATGGCGCTGGCTATGACGATGACCTGGACGTCGGCGTTTAGCGATATTGCGATATTGATATTGTTGGTGACAGCGTTAATGTCGGTGATGGTGGAATAGTATTTTCGGTTGTAGAAAAAAAATCTCGTTGTAATTCGGTGGTCAATATTTGCAATGCTTACTATCACTTCACTTTTCTTTATTCTGCTTTAATTCATTGTACACACTTTTTGCTACTTTTTCTTTGCTCCTCGCGTCTTCACGAGCCCTCAATAGATTTTACAAAGAAGAACCTGTACGTAACGTAATTTTTTTCACTTGGGTAATGGCTCTTCAGGGAGCTTTAGTACACAATCACACATATGCACACACACACACACGCGTTTTACATTTACTATGCACACACTTTTCAAACGCGAAATTCTTCGATGAATTTCTGTGATTTGCTATTGAATTTGTGGCGTTGGAAAAAATTTTCCTGACGCTTGATTAAATTGATTTTCTTATTATCGTAGATTAGATGTACTAAGCAGGGAGGGGAATGTTGAATTTTGATGTGAATTTTGCTATGTGTGAAGCGAAGGAATGCGTCCGAGTGGCAGTGCGAGACTTTTTCTTATGCCTCGTACAACGGTTTTGTGTGACCACGAGATGGCTTGCGAGAGCATTTCGCATTCATATTTGGTCCTTTTACCCCGATTCCGATCTGTGAAAGTCCCTGCATACAATTGCACACACATACACACACACACGAATCCGGCGCGTTCGATGCCACGCGAAGTGCTGCGATGCGTTGCGTTGCGATGAGACGCGGTGCAATGTCCCGTTTAGCGAGCGACTCTGCGATTTCTGCGTTGAAAAACTGAGTACAACTACATTAAAAGGTAGGCTGCTAGATAAGTAAATGTTTTTTGCTCTTTGCTAACTCTGCATTTATGTATGTAATTTGGTATTTTATTTGATTACTGTTGAAAAAAAACCGTTTTAATTACAATTTTGCAGCACTTTCTTCACAGTTATTTCATTTCTATTGCAGCGCTGTGCGAACGGGACAAACTACTTCCCGTTCGTGTTTGCAGGATTTAATTTCAGTATAATAAAATATCTCTTTTGCCAAATGCAGGCGCAGCGTGAGAGTCCGTTACAGAGCGTCAGTGTGGGAGGTGAGAGTTGTACATTTGAATTGGGAGCGCAGCAAAAAATGGCACACACTCAGGATAATTTAAATGTAGAACACAGGATACTTATCAACTCATGCGGTTATCGGCAATCCCAAATTTTCATTTGCATTCGTTCATTTAAATCCCCAAACGAAAAATTTTATCATTCCACACAATTCTCACTGCTTTCAGTTGCTTTTAACATGCACTTTTCAATTAAAGTTATTGTAGTTCTGCTTCTACCCACTTTCATTAAGCAGTGTACACAAACTTTGCTCGTGGAAAAGGTGAAAAATCGGCACCACACAAGTAAGCTCTTTGTTTTTGCGTAAAAAAATTGTGTCCTACGGACTGATTTCCACCTTTACTTTGATTTTTGCAAGATTATGCAGAGTTGTATCTTTGTTTTTATTTAATTTTTATCCACTTTAATTTATTGCTTTCAGTGGACGTCCGCGCGGCACTGCACCAATGCTCCGCACACGCACTCGGCTCAACTCGAAGTGAGTCCGAAAAGTATGCAATCATCGCGCATCGCTTTGAGCTATTTAATTTTCTCGTTGGTGAAACTGCTGCAACCTGCAGTGGGTGGCGAGAGTGTGCAGAGGCCGCGGCAGCGCGAGAGCCGGCGCCGAAAGTTGTTGCTGCTGGTGGTTGGGGGTGGCAATGGTGATGAAGTGTAAATGCGAGAGTTAAGCTCTTCATTGACTTTAGGGAGCAATTTTGACGGTTATCACGCACACAGGGTTGCTTATGGAAGTTTTTAATCTTATTGAAACGAACAATTTTGACTTTGAGCCAAGAATTACCGAAGTTTTGTATTTTTACAAGCTTTGCAAATTTTTATTTCTCATTTAGATCTTAAATAATAGTATCCACTTTTTCTCAAGTCCAATTTTATAAATATTTTGATGGCCATGTGAACATGCCTTTTTGTTTCCGAACGCTTCGAGGCGTTGCACGTTTGAAAGGTACGTTAGTAGTCGTTTAGGGGTTTTCTTTGTCTAAATCCAAAGGTCTTGCTTCGGTAGCAACAACAATACTATAAATCTATAATTTGTTCGGAGATTTTGTTGCCTTGGGCAATAAAACACGCCACATTTCGTGAATATATCTCGGAAAATAAAAAAGTTTTCCATACAAGGACCGTATTTCGATCGAACAGTTTGTATCTCAGCTACATATATGCTAAAGTGTTATGATATCGGTTGTTTCAACATATTAGAAGCTTCTTGGAGAGAAAAGGACGTATGCAAAATTTCAATATCTCAAAAACTGAGGACCTAGTTCGCTTATATACTGACAGACGTACAGACAGACCTAAATACCCTGTTCAGAGTTTAATAAACCTTGAAAAATTATGTGAACCAGAAGAGAGACCTTTCGCATTCTGCAACACTGGTCTAGCCGGTTTAAACCATGAATGTTACTGAAGACACAAGCTACTTATAGCGCCATCTAGGGGAAAATAGCAAGTATTAACCAATATAAATCTGTTAACACAATTTTAAATATACTTTTGTGAGACGAGATATGAAGGAAATTACAAAATTTTACAAAGTATTATGTTTGAGGCCAATAAACAGTTTTTTAATTCAAATAACCTCCAATTTGAAGTAGAATCCATTTATTCATTAATTTAAAAAAAAATGTATTACACGTTGCACCCTGTGCTTTGTTCCAATTAATTTTCAATAGTCAGCTGACAATAAAAAACAACTTTAATAACTTTAAATAGCATTCGGCTAAACGCAAATTATTGCAGCGTTGTCAAGGAAACAAGAAAAACAACATTGAACCAACACAAAAATTAAAGTCGAAACCTCAATTTTCCTTCCGGTGCAGTAATCGCCAAAAAGGATTCATTTTATTCTGGCCAAATCTGTGGACTTCTCTCCGGATGCCGCACACCGCAGTAAGTTCCATATTGTAATTACAAATAAAGTGTTAAATTGTTTTTGCTGACCAATTGGTGCTAATTGCATTTATTGCTTGCAGAGCGGCACCACGCCTTCGACCAACAGATTAAAATCTTACTCTTACAAGTGAACATACATATACTTTCGCACAACACGGCCTTAAAATACGCCTTATAGCATTTTCGAAACATAAAAATATTTCATTGCTCTATTGGATGCTTTGGTCATGTAGAAGTAAAAGATGTTGTTATTAAATGACGAATCGGGCGTATGAAATATTAACAAGCAGGGTGAGTACGTTATTAATTTAAGAGCTTTGTTTTGCTGTTAGTAGAATTGCAGCGTCAAGAAGTTTTTACACATTTAACGATATAACTAACATATGGGATGAAGTGATTTGGTCATTGTCTGATATACATTATCGCAATTTATTACACAAGTTTTTCCACTATTTGTTAAATTTAAGTCTGTTATGAAGTCATGGATGCAATATGTAGTATTGAGGCCATCTAAAATCGGATTGTTGTTATGTGCCAATTAATGGATAAATATGTACATTAAATTTTTTAATTTGCAATACATCCAGTGCCCAATAATTTTTGTGCCGTTGCTGAACATAGTTGGAATAATCGTATCAATAATGTCACATTTTGTAACGCTTTAGTTTTTCATCAAATATTTACAATGCAGTAGAAAATGTTGATGAACAGTTCGTAATTAAAGAGTTTGAAAGTTAGTGTTTTGAAAATGAACCTAAATGACTCTCCTAACCCGTACCATGAGTTTTCATTTGTTATTACAAAATATTACTTCATTTTTGTTATCCAAAAAAGCGAAGATACCATATGTCTAACTTAGTTGTCGAGATATTTTCAAAAATGTTGCACATTTTAGAATTCTTCTTCACCCGATTATGAAGTTTTAAATACACCAACACTTATAGCATTGTACGGTAGAATATCTTACTGAGAGTTTGTAACTTCTAAATTAAATTGACACAGGTTTAAATATTTTGTATTTATACATATACAACGCGTTCAAAAAATAACTTGTTTCCTTTGCCTGATTAATTCCCGGAAAACTATATTTATTATTTTTTTATTTTTATTAAAACTTATTCAATTGCTATCGTTGTCGCGTACAATTCGGTCAGTTTTTCGGGTCTTCTTAATATGTATATCACGTCGTGCCGTGAAAAAAGAATAATTAAGTATAGTTAGTTTTGAAGCAGCTTTTCTAACGAAGCATCGTAATACGAATTTCGCATTTGTGAAGAGGTGGTCTGATCTTTATGGAGAAACTGAAAACGTAGAGGACAAGACAGGAAGAAGGGGGAATCACGTGGCATCTAAAAGAGAGACAAAAGATATTATTCTACTGTTTGAGAATCACTTGCTGCTCAATATAAGATAAGCTAAAAAAATTTAGTTTAAAAAGAGATTGAATATATGTATCTCTAAATTCAATACAGAACAGACTTCAGATGCATCAAACGCAGCACTTTCAAAACAAACATGTAATATTTACAAATGAGTGAATTTTTGTATTGTTTAACCCCTTGATACGTGATTGGGTAAGAATATGACAAACGTTTATTCAAAGGAGAATGTTTGTAGATGCTTTCTTCCACAGGGATTTGGAGTAGAAACAATGGATTCAATGGAAACAAGAAAACCATATTGTTACTTTAGATTAGCCAACACTGTGACCAGACCACCAATCCAAAACAGAATATTTGCGCTTTAATGAAAGCCAAAATATCAACTCCAACATCCCTAGATGTCGCTTTCTGTTGAATATGCAAAAAATTTATTTTTAAGTTGCCTTCAAAGATGTCAGGTTATAATAGAAAACGATTGGAGGAAGTATTAAATAATTGTCAGCTATATAAAACAATGTATTTATCTGCAATTACAACATTTTTCCCATTAAACGCTACCTGCACTTCGGAAAACGAAAACTTTATTTTTGAACGCACTATTTTTTATATATTTAAATTTCGCTCTCGTCTTGAGAGGGTGGAGGAGGAGATACGTTTATATAATATTTCGGCTTTTGCAAGATTTGTATACATTTTATTTATAACAACCCCACTCGGAGGCAGCCAGGACAGAGAATTCCCCTAAACTACCTTAGACCATTCAGCTCCTTCATGAGTTGCTTGAAGCAATGGAGCCTAGAAGAACACCGCAGGTCTTGGAACACCAGCAGCACAGGTCATACCACAAAGGTACTTTGAACTACCACAAATGATGGTGGAGAGATCAAAAAGCCTATACTCTTAGACTACCAACAAACCCCAAATTTTTAACAAATCCACTGAATTTCTCGGTAAGGCTCAATTGGTTGGGTCTGGCGCTCCTGAACTTCCTTTTTCAACCAGCCAACTAACCATTTCCAACAATATAATTATTTTATCTGCATGAAAATTGGCATGAACCTACATTTGTTGTTTATTTTACTCTTCTTCACAGAAATAAGATTTCCAATAGTTTCGATTAACCTAAAAAGCGTCGAATATGTAAAAACGAATAAGTTCACCGAAGCAGAACGTAATATCTTTGAAAACAATTCTAGTCTTTAAGCTTTTTCTCGTCTCACACTCCATTCATCGATTGGCGTCGAATTATATGGCAAACCAGTAACTATTTCCTTATTAATATATAATTGAAGAATTGATGTAAATCATTCCAGTACTTTTGAACCTCTGAGTGTAGCAGGGTGTTTAATGTCTTAAGTTGGAGACTACATAAATAGTATATGTAATGTTTATATTGTATATTAACGAGTATAAACATATTTCTTAAAATATGGTATAAGTATTTCATTTCGACTTAATTATATCGTTTCCCTAATTTTGCTTTGTTTACAATTATAAAAAAATTATTAAAAATATTTAAAAAGTAAAAAATTATTAAAATGGTATTTATCTTAGTGAAGCTTCAATCATAAAGTTTTGTAGAGAATTTTGAAAGCAACGATACTCTCTGCTCTGCATGAAGTTGATTGATGGTGTGTGGATTTGTGTGTCGAGATGAAAACGCATTTTTGATAAGCTCTTTTTGGTGGCGCTAAAAGTAATTATAACTTAACTGTTATCTTGAAAATCAAAAAGAATAAACAAACTCAAATAAACAAGCTTCAGTGAGTTGTAAAAATTATTGAAGTAATATCTAAAATATATTTTTTTTAATGTGGTAGAGTTTAATTTCAAACTTTTCGCAATTAGTAAAGTTTCACTTTGTGTGGGCACTTAATTATGAATACAAGTGCTTATATGTACATATGTATATATATTTTAATATGAAATGTATATTTTCACACTGATATATAATATAATATATTACACACATACATATGTATATACACACCTGCCGCATACAATTCAAAACTGCGCATTCATATAAAAAACTTAATTCGAGAATGTTTTAACGCTTTGAGAAAAGTTGGAGGAAACTTACCATGACATTGCACTGCATGAGTTCCACTTTGCCACCACCAGCGCTTATTGGGACTTTGGCTGGTGTGGCGCATTAAATGTGCGTGTGCCTTGCAGCATGCACCAACGCACACCGTGCCATTACCACTACAAGGGTGCGTTACTGGTGTCGTGCCAGGTGTAAAAACGCGGTCTCGCTGTAAGTCTCACGAATTTGTTGTGAACGAGCATTGGCCTTTTGCGGCGATCCTTGCGTTTCGCGCTTGGTTGATTCTCATTTTTATACCAGATTTCAACGCACGCCAATGATAGCTGTCCATGGCAATAAACGTCAATTTGTCGTTTGTTTTATACGAGATATATGTATGTACATATGTAAACATACATACATACGTATAAATAACCAAAAATAATTTCCTGTTAAATTGGTGGGAATGCAGGCAATCCTTTTCAGAAATGCAGTAAGTTGAGAATAGTTTTCGCTTGCGAACATTCATGCACAAATTTTGAACGTATTTTCGTATAATTATTCTCTTTCCAGAAAAACAGTGTTGATAATACCCTCAAGAACTGCAAACGACAAAAAAAATGGTTCCAAATTCGTTTGTGTTTTGCCAAATATTTATTGGCTAAAATGTATTACGTGTATGGGTACAAATGACTGGAAAACCCCTTGACTATAACCCAGCAAACATTTAAGCCGTAAACTGAAATATATGTTATGTTAAGTGAATGATGATAAAGGCTGTGTTCGATTCGCCAAGCGTTACTCACTATACCAGATTCTCAAACAAACGGGCAGCACTTGTGGTGCAACCCTGCACTAACATGTCTTCTGACGCATTACCAATATTATAATGATTCTTTTTTAATGGAGAATAATCTTTTCGCCTTAAAAAAGTTACTGTAATCCTTTACTTTGGCTTTCTATAAATTCTATAATTGTTTTTTAGTTTTATGTTTTAAAAATACAAGAAAAAACGAAATTTGTCTTTTCATTTGTCATTTGCACCATTCACAACACTAAAACTGATCTAAAATATGCCAAAAAAAATCATTAAAGTATACGCCTATTTTCTTGTACAAATTCAACTCGATAACTTTGTTGTTGCTTTTACATGTACTTTTTTTTTGACAAGAGAGCAGAAGCGAGCAGAGAAATGGCGAATCGAAGACAGCTAATATATGAAACAGCACTTCCGAAAACATTTATGTAAGTCGAAGTTTGATTGAGAACACCCTTGAGAACATTTGACGAGAAATCACCGAATAAAAGCTTTCTTTTAAGAGCAAGTCTCAAAAATGAAAAATATAATTTAAAAAATTCCTTCCGTCTTGTAACTTGTAAAGAAAACACGCAAATTTATCATCAGTTCGAACATTTATTTTTTATTGAATTATAATTTTGATAGTTATCAAAAAGTTTTATGAACAACTGTATTTTTAAAAATTAATTAGGCCTTCCCCATAAATATTCGAGTTAGCAGAAATAGCCGCAGATTACTTCACTCACCATATTTTAATTTATCTGTGGTAAATTATCAGCATCAGTAGTATAGAATTAGGGGTCGTCTCATTTATCATTACAAATGATAATTTTTGATATACCGATCTCAAGGTTTTGCTGAATTTTCCTTTTAGCCATGCTAGTTATTATTGGATAAATTCAATACGTTGTTATTGTAGCAGTCTAAAGCATTCCACCAATAGTTTAAGATGAAAGTTGGCATTTCTTGATCAGGTACAAGCCCGTTTTGTAGTTTATTTAAACTAAAAGAACCTTTCCGCCGCATAAGTCATAACTTTAATTCTCATTCCTGCACATTTGATTTAACTCACTTACTTTTTAAA